AAAAACTATCGTCTAGTCCCCAGGTTTATCGCAGCAAACGTTTTCATGATGCTTCGTGAGACAATGGTTGTTTGGTGCAAGGAGTCATTTAATTTCCAATTGGAGTGACCCGACAACCAAACACAAGTACATGACCCCTTTTTAACTGTAGTCCGCAGAACAGCGAGCCTTACGGTAACGGATATTAAATTAAGCAAGTTTGACCTGAAATGGACTGTTACAAATTGGTCGACTGTTATTCTCTTTGCCGGAGATTGGTGAACAAAAGTCGCTTTTACCATGCACAACCTCGATGGGTTACATCATAGGCGAAATGCTCTACAGTTCCTCATCACTAATTTCCTCTCCGCCGCTTCCTTTAAGTGGCTCTGCAACTTCGTCTTCTCCCTCATTCCCAGAGCTAAAATCCCATATGTCGAGGTAGCTTTGTGCATTCTGGTGCGAGGCAGCGACACACAAGTTCCCCTCATATGCCACTTGCCACACTCCCGTCAAACCCGCCAGCATCTCTCGCACCACCTTGCCCTCGCGTATGTCCCACATAAGGAGCTTTCCGTCCGAACCGCTCACCACTTTGTACTCGTCGTGTTGGAAGCAGGTGATAGCTCCAGTATGCGCGGCCAGTGTGTGTTTTAAGGTCCCACTCGATGGATTCCATACGCGTAGGGTCGAGTCTGCCGCTGCCGTGACTATATTTGTCGGTGAGACGCCAACTATGCCGATAATGGAGGAATGCCCGATGAGAGTATGGAGAGTTTGACCGGTAACAAGTGACCAAATTCGAGCCGTTCCGTCCATCGAACTAGATACGACTTGGCTGCGTTCCGAGTCAATCGCAACACCGTAGACTGAGATATAGGTGCGGGTCAATGAGGTAAAATAATTTGGATGGCTTAGAATAAGTACCTTTTTGCGTATGACCAGTCAAGGTCCATTTGCATTCACCAGTGATCAGATCCCACACCTTCAAAGTCGTATCATAGCTGCCAGAGACAGCAGTGCGCCCATGCGTGGCCAAAGCCCTCACAACCTGGTTATGACCCTTGAGCACTCGGAGGTGATACGGGTTTCCCTCTGCCTAAACAAACTGAATGAATAACACTTTCACCGATGACCTTCGTCACACTCACTTCTAACTCCACTATCTCATTGTGTTTGTACCCTTGTCTCGGCAAATTCCAAACACGCAATGTATGATCTCGACTCCCGCTCACAATAAGGGAGCGCTTTGGCCATGTTTCCATTCGTCCGTCTACCTCCGTCCACACTGGTGTGGCGACCGCCACACAACGTACAGTCGACGTATGATCGGTAAATACGTGAGTGCATTTGCCGGTACCCAAGTCCCAGACACGTATGGTTAGATCCGTTGACCCAGAGACGAGAATGTTGGGGTAGCTCGGGCTGACAGCAAGTGCCCATACACCACCCTCGTGCCCTTTCATCACGTGCAGGCATTCGCCTGTCTCTGGGGAGTAGATATGAATTTCGCGGTTGTCGGAAGCTGTTATGATGCGGCCGTGCGAAATTAAAGTGCATGTAACGACATTTGAGCCGTGGACGGGAAAACTAAGTCGTCGAGGATCGTTGCGCATCCAATCGTCCATACACTTGGCATCGCGCGAGGTGTGTGTCATA